CCATTCTGTGGGCTGCCTTTTGTCTTGTTGACTGTGTCTTTTACCTTACAGAAGCTTCTCAGTTTCAGGAGGTCTCATTTATTAATTGTCTATCTCAGTGTCTCTGCTACTGGTGTTATGTTCAGGAGGATGTCCCCTGTACCAATTCGTTCAAGGGTCCTTTACACTTTCTCTTCTAAGAAGTTCAGTGTGGCTGGATTTATGTTGAGGTCTTTGATCCATTGGCGTATGGTGATAGATATGGATCTATCTGCAGTCTTCTACGTGCCAGCATCCAGTTATGCCTGCACCATTTGTTGAAGATGATTTCTTTTTTCCATTGTATAATTTTAGCTTCTTTGTCAAAAATCTGGTGTTCATAGGTGTGTGGGTTAATATCAAGGTGTTCATTTCGATTCCATTGGTCTACCTGTCTATTTTTGTGCCAATAGCAAGCTGTTTTCAGGACTATAGCTCTATAATAGAGCTTGAAGTCATGGATGGTGATGCCTCTGGAAGTTCCTTTATTGTACAGGGTTGTTTTTGCAATCCTGGGTCTTTTGTTTTTCCATATAAAGTTGATTATTGTTCTTTCAAGGTCTGTGAAGAATTGTACCGGTATTTTGATGGGTATTGTATTTGTAGAATGCTTTCGGCAAGATTGCCATTTTTACTATGTTGATCCTACCTACCCAAGAGCATGGGAGATCTTTCCATTTTCTGGTATGTTCTTTAAATTCTTTCTTTAAAAACTCAAAGTTTTTTTGATACAGGTCTCTCAGTTGTTGGGTTAGGGTTACCTCAATATATTTTATGTTGTTTGTGGCTATTGTAAAGGGCGATGTTTCTCTGATTTCATTCTCAGCCCTTTTATCTTCTGCATATAGTAGGGCTACTGACTTTTTTGAGTTGTTGTATCCTGCCACTTTGCTGAAGGTGTTTATCAGCTGTAGGAGTTCCCATGTAGAGTTTTTTTTGGGTCACTTATGTAAACTATCATATCATCAGCAAATAGTGAAAGTTTGACTTTTTCCTTTCCAATTTGTATCCCCTTGATTTCCTCTTGTTGTCTTCTTGCTCTATCAAGAACTTCAAGTACAATATTGAACAGATATGAAGAGAGTGGACAACCTTGTCTTGCTCCTGATTTTAGAATTGTGTTCAATTTGTCTCCATTTTGTTTGATGTTGGCCGTTGGTTTGCTGTATATTCCTTTTATTATGCTCAGGTATGTTCCTGCTATCCCTATTCTTTCCAGGACCTTTATCATGATGGGTGTTGCATTTTGTCAAAAGCTTTTTCAGCATCTAGTGAGATGCTCATTTGGTTTTTCTTTTGTAGTTTGTTTATATGATAGATTACATTGATAGATTTTTCATATATTAAACCATCCCTGCATCCCTGGGATGAAGCCTGCTTGATCATAGTGGAAGATTTCTCTGATGTGTTCATGAATTTGATTTCCTAGTATTTTATTGTTTATTTTTGAATCAATGTTCATGAGGGATATTTGTCTGTAGTTCTCTTTCTTAGTTGTGTCTTTGTGTGGCTTGGGTATCAAGGTAATTGTAGCCTTGTAAAAAGGGTTTGGCAATGACCTTTCTGCTTCTATTGTGTGAAACAGTTTGAGGAGTACTGGCATTAGCTCTTTGAATTTCTCGTAGAATTCTGCACTGAAACCATCTGGTCCCGGACTTTTTTTGGTTGGGAGACATTTGATGACTGCTTCTATTTCATTAGGGCTGTAGGTCTATTTAAATTGCTTATCTGTTCTTGATTTAATTTTGGTAAGTGATATCTATCCAGGAAATTGTCCATTTCCTTTCAATTTTCAAATTTTATGGAGTACAGGTTTTCAAAGTATGACCTGATGATTCTCCGGATTTCCTCAGTGTTCCTTGTTATGTCCCCCTTTTTGTTTCTGATTTTGTTAATTAGTGTGTTCTCCCTCTGCCTTTTGGTTATTTTGGATAAAGTTTTGTCTATCTTATTGATTTTCTCAAAGAGCCAATTCTTGTTTCATTGATTCTTTTTGTTGTTTTCTTTGTTTCTACTTTATTGATTTCAGCCCTCAATTTGATTATTTCCTGGCATCTACTCCTCCGGGGTGAGTTTGCTTCTTTTTGTTCTAAAGCTTTCAATTGTGTTGTTAATTCTCTAGTATGACTGTTCTTCAGTTTCTTCATGTGGGCACCTACATAGTGCTATGAACTTTCCTCTCAGCACTCCTTGGGTTGGAGTTTTCCTTCCAGAATTTTCTGTAGGGCTGAATTTGTGGATATGTATTTTGTAAATCTGATTTTGTCATGGAATAGCTTGTGTTCTTCATCTATAGTGATTGAGAGTTTTGCTCAGTATAGCAGTCTGGGTTAGCATCCGTGGTCTCATAGTGGTTGTAGGACATCTGTCCATGACCTTCTGGCCTTTAGGGTTTCCATGGAGAATTCTGGTGTAATTCTAATAAGTCTGCCTTTATATGTTACTTGGCCTTTTTCCTTTGCTGACGTTAATATTCTTTCTTTATTGTGTATGCTTGGTTTTTTATTATTATGTGATGGAGGGACTTTTTTTCCTTTGGTCCAATCTATTTGGTGTTCGATAAGCTTCTTATACTTTCATTGGCATGTCCTTCTCTAAGTTGGGAAAGTTTTCTTTTATGATTTTGCTGAGTATGCTTTTTGTACCTTTGAGCTGGGTTTCTTCAACGCCTTCTATACCTATACCTATTCTTAGGTTAGGTCTTTTCACGGTGTCTCACATTTCCTGGCTATTTTGTGTTAAGGATTTGTTGGATTTAAGATTTTGTTTGGTTGATGAATCTATTTACTCTAGTTTATCTTCAGTGCCTGAGATTCTCTCTTCCACCTCTTGTATTCTATTGGTTATGCTTGCATCTATTTACCCAGCTATTCTATTTCCATCATCCCCTCAGTTTGTGTTTTCTTTATTGTCTCTATTGCAGTTTCCAGGTCTTGAAATGTTTGAGTTGTTTCCTCCAGCCGTTTAATTGTTTTTTTCTTTGCTTTCTTTAAGAGATTTGTTGATTTCTTGTATTTTTTTTGGTTTGTTTGTTTTCTTCCATTTCTTTAAGGGATTATCTCATATCCTCTTTGAGGGCCTCTATCATTTTCATGAAGTTGTTTTTTTAAGGTCATTTTCCTCTGTTTCATCTGCATTGAGATGTTCAGGTGTTGGTGGTGTAGAGTCCCGAAACTCTGGTGGTGTTATGTAAGTCTTTCTGTTGTTGCATGTGTCCTTATTGTGTCGTCTTCCCATCTCTTCTTCCAGCGGATATAGGTTTGGTCCCTCCCTCTTCTGGTGGGTATGGGTTCAAGGGCCTATCCTCTCCTCAATTCTGGATGCACTTGCTCTATGCTCACTCTCTTGCTTGCTCGCTCCACCGGAGGGTGGATGGGTAAGGCAGGAATGACTGCCTCTGGGTCCCTTTGCAGGAATTGGTCCAGTTTTTACTCTTGAGTTGTTATGCTAGTAGAAGCCTCAGGCCCTGATGGACAGCCTAGAGTCATCCCTTAAAGTCCACACGATGTTTTTTAAATGTTGACTATTTAAGATATACTAGTGGTGGTATTTGGTATTCCAGACAAAATGGTCTATGGTATCCAGACTTTTACTTTCAAGGGATTGAGTACATTAAATGTGCAGCAAGAAAGAGTAGATGTACAAATAGATAGCATCATCAACCCAGATATCTAAAACACCCAGCAGAAACAAGAGAAGTCCTACTGGAGCTCCTGACTGAGAGATGTCCAGTGTGTTCTCTTGTGGATGGGATTCTGCCATTTTGTTACCAGCGTACGCATTTTTAAAGCATAGGTCAAACAATATTAACTTCTATTCTAAATGTTTAGCTTTCTTTCTGTTCTCAAGGGTGGGTGCAACTTATTTTTTTTAATTTCCTTTATAGTTGGGCAGTGGTGGTGCACACCTTTGATACTAGTGCTTGGGAGGCAGAGGCAGGCGGATCTCTATGAGTTCAAGGCCAGCCTGGTCTATAGAGGGAATTCCAGGACAGCCAGGGCTACATAGAGAAATCATGTCTCAAAAAAGCAAACCATTTACTTAATATGCAGGAGTGCCTCTGTGCGTGTTTGCACACTATGGTGTATTTTCGGAGGTCAAAGGACAACTTGAAGAAGTTGGTTCTTTCAGTCCATCATTTTGAGTCCTGCAGATTGGACTCATGTCATCAGGCTTGGAGGCAAGGGCTGCTACCTTCTAAACCGAGTAGGTACATTGTTTTTAATGCATTGAGCTGTTTGCTGTATTGCTTTCTCCCTGTCACAGGGTTAGGGTGCTAGTGTGTCAGGACAGGGAGTCTTGCTGGACACTTTAACAAACTTGCTAAAATGTAGGCTAGGAGGAACCTCCTTGCCCCCAGAGTCCTGTTTCCCAAGCCCAAGCAGCATATGACAATGTACCCGAGTCACTCTCTACACAACTGTGTCTTTCTCTTACTTTTCTTTTTTTTTTTTTTTTAAACAGGGTTTCTTTTTAATCCTGGCTGTTCTGGAACTCGCTCTGTACACCAGGCTGGCCTTGAACTCATAGAGATCCTCGTGCCTTTGCCTCTTGGGTCACCACATACTGGTTCTACAAACTTTTTTTTTTAGGGAAAGGGTAAGATTTATTTTGACTGACTGCACGATCGTATTTTATTTCATCAAATACAAATAGCGTTCTCCATTTGACAACAGACAATGAGAACCGAAATAATCCTCGATGACACTTTCTAGGTCACACTGTCCTTTAGGTAGATAACCCTGCCCAGTTTCTCAGGAACAGAAAGTTTAACTCAGGTTGTGGAGACTAGGGGTAAGAAAGTGCAACTTGTGCCCAAACCAAGTGGGCTGTCCAAGCCCAAGGAGGATAGTGAGAAACAGATGGTAGGAGATGCTGGGAGCCTTTAGCACTGACTGCAGCAGTCTCGGGTCAGGGATTCCAGGCTGGGGCTGGGAGGCGTGGCGGGGCCGGGCTCCAGGTTGCGCGTGCGCCATCCTCGACACCACGCCCACTCCATCGCCCCTTCTGCGCCTGCGCGCCGCGCAGTCCCGCCCCCTCCTTCGTGCGTCGCTCTGGGGACCATGGCCGATCCTCGCGTGAGGCAGATCAAAATCAAGACAGGCGTGGTGAAGCGGTAAGGAACGGCCCGCGGCGCGGTGGCCTCTGACTGCTCTTCTCTTCTCACGGCCCGGGAGGTTCGGCGGAGCGTAGGCCCGAGGCGGGCGAGGCGTCCAGGCCTCGGCGGGCGGGACGCGAGGGGCCGCACACGTCCGGGCCAGCGCTGGCTGGGAGCCGCCCTCGGCGCTGGCCTGGCCGCCGTGCGTGCGGGGATCGGGGCGACCGCGGCGCTGGTCCGGCCGTCCTCTGTGCGGGGCTAGGTCGGCTCCCGTGGGCTGGGAGAAGGAGAGTGGCCTGCGGCTGGAGGGCCTTGGCCTGCGAGCGCCGGGCGGCGGTTAGCTCAATTTCGCAGTAAGGAGGCGGAGTCCAACGCTGGCCTGGCCTCAGGTGGACTTGACAGCCCTCAAGTTTAGGGGCTGCCGAGAGCACGGGCCTCACCCACAAGAGATGGTGGTGGAGTCCTGTGCTCCGACATGGCTGGCTTCCAGACTTCGGGAGCTGGGCATGAACTTGAGCACCTCTGCAAACTTTCCCCCTGAAGCTTGCTCCAGTGCTGCGGGATGGATGCCGCCTCCCATGAGTAGGCCAGTCTTGTGAGTTGCCTTGATTCTCGACTGCCAGTAAATACTTCAGTGCTCATTAGAACTGTTTTGTTAAGATCCAAGGTGATCAAACTGTGAACCATTCCAAGAAAAGAGATACACAGCCTCCTTACGAAGCGGGTCATTCTGCAGTGGGAATAGCTTTTCCCGTTGGCCTGTCCCTCAGGCATTTATTGATACTCGAGGGGGACAACCTGGAAAGGAAAGTCACTTTTGAGAGACTGCCCCTGAGTTCTAGTTCTTCGCCCAGTACTTTGGAAGCTTTTATTACAAAGGCAGCTATGAGATGGTATGAGCTCTTCTGAATTGTGGCTGAATTCAAACCTTTTTTTTTTAATTTTATTTTGAGACAGAGTTTCTCTGTGTAGCCTTGGTTGTCCTGGAACTTTCTCTGTAGACCAGGCTGGCCTTGAACTCCCAGAGACCACCCTGCCCTTCTGTCTTCCAAGTGCTGGGATCAGTGGCGTACACCACCACGGCCCGACTTGACTTCAAATCTTGATTCTGTCATTGATTTCATGCACTCTGGAACATGCCACATTGCACTTTGCCTCTTTTACTGAGCTTGTAAGCTAAATTCCCCTTGTGTTCAGTCATTGGAAGAAGTGCCTGCGATGCTGTTTGATAACAGTCTGTGACAAGTAAACAGTGGCTGTTGTTGTGATACACTGTGAACATTCTTTTGGTCAGGAACATGTTAAATGAAGTTTAAAAAACCTGAAGTGTATCTAAAGTCGTACTTGAAGTTAGTAGCAGAGCAAGCAAATGAAGCAAAGTTTCTGATTGCAGCTGGGATGCAGGGGTGGATGGAGCATTGGAGCTTGCCCCTCGGCCCACAGTTCTGCTCTCTTTAGTCAGACTTTCTTTGGCTGTGTCATTTGCCTTAGCATATTGTCTGTTTGGCAGAAGAGAGCCAGGTGTGTGAGAGAATGCTTTAAAGCAGATACATGAGAAACGGTTTGTAATGTTTTCCCATGAATTGGTATGCCCTTGGTACTTCATCCTTGTGTGTACAGTACATATGCCACAGGACCGTTTTTTAAGAACTAAGTTGTGAGGCTTTCACAGATTCTCAGATGCCTATGTAAACTGCCTGGAAGTAGGTAGAGTTTTGTTTGGAGTCTAACAGGGCATCGATGGGGACATGTATACATATTTTGGTAAATTAATAATTTTCATGAAACTTAATAATTTACCATAATCTCAAATTGCTTATATAAATTAATGAAAATGCGTATCATACATTTGTTTCATTGCTCTTTTGTTGACATTTTGGTGTAGCATTTCCTCTTACATACTGTAAAACTAGGAAATATACTTTTAAAATTTGTATTTCACATGTTGATTGCTACTATTTTGGCTTGTTGTATAAAGTTTACATCCATAAATATTACTTCCTTATTTTTCCTGAGAACTTATTTTACTGTGATTCTGTCTTCTGTGTTAAACATACTGAGTCAGAATTCTACATTTTGTCTCTTCCAAAGGGGAGCATGGATGCAGATATTCATTGTCAGAGAAGAATGATCATGGTCCCTGTGTATATATTTACATTTTTATAATAAAAAGCACTTAAAAGATAAGCTTTTTTCCTTCAAGTTTAGTTAATCAGTTTCGTGATTCCAGAATGTTCTTGGTTTTGTGAAAGGAATTCCTGTTCATCAGGTTTGTTGTATTTTTAAAAATTGCATTTATTTATTTACTCTGTGAATGGGAGGGAGGCCTTTGTGACACTGTCAGAGGACAGTTTCAGGAGTCCATTCTCTCTCTCTACCATGTGGGACCTGGAGATCAAGCTCAGGTTGTTAGACTTGATGGCAAGCTCCTCTTACTGCTGAGACATCCCATCAGTCCTTGACATCCGTTTTTTTAAAAAGTGGTTTAAAGTCATTATTCATAACCCCAGTTCACTTTGTTTTTCCTTTCAAAGTTAAGAGCCACTAGAACTTATACTCTAGGTTTTTGTCTTAGAGTTCATTTTGGATAGACTATACTGTGACTTTATTAAAATATACTACAGGACTTGTGATTCAGAAGTCCCCAATTTGGAGATTTTAGGAAGGAATTCGGACAGAGAGGTTGAGAGTTAAGGGAGTATGGAAATAGAACGTTAAATAGATGGTGGTTGGCATCAGGGGGATGATGCAAAGAGTACAAGATTGCAATCTGATTGTGATGGCAAATGGTGAAAGCAGTCCCGCGTATTTTAAATGGAAGTAAAAGTGAGTTTCAGGGGTATAGTACTTTAGCTGGTGTATTAGTTACTGTTCTGTTGCTCTGAAGAGACACCGTGACCCAGGCAACTTAGAAAAGAAAGTGTTTAATTGGGGCTTTATTACAGTTTCAGAGGGTGAGTCTGTGTCCATCCTGGTGGGAAAAAGGCAGCAGGTAGACAGGAATGGTGTTAGATCAGTAGCTGAGGACTTAAATCTTATTTCAAGTTGGAGGCAGAGAGAGCCGGAGACTGAAACCTCAAAGCCCATCCCCAGTGACACACTCCCTCATACAAGGCCCCAAATAGCTCCACTGGTTAGAGACCAAACATTCAGATATGTGCATCTAAGGGGCCATTGTCATTCAAACCGACACAAGTGGAAAATAGTAGGAGCTTCACAGTGCCTTCATACCAGAGGAATGTTACCTATACAATAACATGTCAGAGCACAGAATAAGTCACTAGGAACAGGAAAGAGTCTACTTACTAAGAATGCTGGACAGCAGTAAGCTGGCCTGGTCTGAACCTCTGATGAAGAGGGGTCCTTAAATATGTCCTCTCAGTCACAAGGACTTTTTTTTTAAGAATTAATTCAGGCCGTAAAAATAGATATGTGCACTAGCTAGGGGTAACTAAATGACATTTCTCTGAGCAATCAATTTTGTTAACATTGACTAGTTCAGTTTGACCATCCCTAACTGGAAAATCTGAAATTCAAAATGTTTAGTGAGTGCTGATACAACATTGAACATGTCAGATTTTGGAGTTATGGGATATTCAACTGGTAAAGTTTATACAAATATTCCAAGATATGAAAAACTCTGAAATTTGAAACACATTTGGTTTCGAGAATTTCAGTTAAGTGATACATGGACAATATTGGGCATTGTTGGTAGATTTGATCTATGTGTTAGTTACTTTTTTGGTGCTGTGATAAACACCACTACCAAAAGCAACTTAAGTAGGACAGGGTTTATTTCATCATCTTTAACTTGCAGGTAACAGTCGGACACTGAGGGACGCCAAGGCAGGAGCTCAGGCAGGACCCTGGAGGCAGGAGCTGAAGCAGAGGCCATGGAGCACACAGCTTACTGCTTTGCTTTCCGGGGCTTGTGCGTTTTGCTTTCCTATGCAGCCCAGGACCACCTTCCAGAGTGGCACTACCCAGGGTGTTCTCATATCAATCATCAATCAAGAAAATGCCTGCATGTTAATTTGATGGAGATAATTCCTTAACTGAATGTCCCTCTTCCTGGGTGACTTTAATATGTGTAGTTGATTAAAAACAAAACAAAACAAAAAACCTAACTCTACAGTTAGTCTAAATCTTTATAAAAGACTCAGGCCTATACTTTTTGCAGATTACTACATTTTTAGGTATCTGCGATGTGTCCCAGCTAGTCCAGCTACTCCTGCAGGGAATGACCAAATAATACTACCAATTTTCTTCCTCGGTGTGGATCTTGAAATCATGTAAGTGGCATTAATTGTTCTAATTTTCTTGGACTGGAGTTTCCTAGGATGTGGAACATTCTCTGTTAAAACTGTAGACATCCCAGGGAAACCAAAATGATTGGTCGTTTTCTGTGTACCGAGCACCTGTATCTCTATTTTGTATATACTGTAATTTATTTGGAGGCTGTTGAGGGTATACCTATATAATGTCAACCTGTGTACATCAGTCCTTACTTAATTTAAAAGGTGTGACATAAATACAAATCCTTGCCATAGTACTTTTTTTCTGTATTAGTTATTTAGAAAATATTTTCATTAAAATAGAGGAAAATTAGGACTTGTTTTCTTGACTGTGTGTCAAGATGTGGTATTTTAGCTAAGTGACTTTTGTCTACTCTACATTTCCAAGTAGGATTTATGTTTATAAAGTAAGTTTGTTGCTAGACATGTGGTAAAAAGAAGTTCTACAAGGAAAAAATGTTTCAATCCATTTAAAAGGTGATTTTTGACTTTAGAGCCAACTTTTAGTAAAACCTGATAAGGTAGCCCACTGGTGGGCAAACTAATTGATTAAAAATACTTTATTAATATATCTTTGTATAACCATTTTAGATTGGTAATAGCTTAAAGTCCGGTGTGAACAAAGAATGTTGAAGTATTAGAAATCTCACTGACATTGCCCCATAGTTTTCCTCTGATTAAATGAAAGTGACACCAGGAGATTAGAATGAGACTGGGACAATT